GGCTGAGTGACAGAGTGAGACTCCATCTCAAAAAAAAAAAAAAGAAAAGAAAAAGAAAATCGTTTTTGTTTTTTTGTTTTTTGGCAAAAGAAAGAGAAAGTGCATTCTGTCATTGTGAAACTGCTCTCATGATCAGACCAAGCATCCTCCATGTGGGAAGAGGGGGGACAGAGCACCCACAATCTGAGGCCCTTGCTCTACAGTGCCCCCTGCTGTCAGGGCACTGAGCCGAACAATGCTGAGTGTGGTCCGAAAGATACTGGCATGAAGGGCTATGTTGACATTTTACAAATAGGGATAATTATTAGGACCAACTGCCTTTCCTGAGCAGTCCTAACTGTAGGCACAGTTAGGACTGCTTGTTTTTATTTTGTTTTAATTAAAACTTTTAATTATTTTATATTTAATAAATGATGCACGTGAAAGTAGCTATTATATTGTCTTAGCCACCCATTCTAGTGAAATGAGTCATAGGCACATCAAAAAGCTCTTGATAGTACATTCACCAACTAAACTTCAGTGCCGTCCACTTGGCATTATCTAGATCCAGCATCTTATGAATTTAAAATCAGGGAAAGCCAATATATCGTCATGTCTACATTTTGTAACTTCAGGATAATTTAAGGTGAGTCAAGTAAGATGAGAGGAAGAAATGCAGATTTGTTTTAGTTAAAAATTCTTTCAAGTAAAATATCACATAGAGGTAGCATTTTTCTTTTTTGTTTCGACTTTTATTTTAGATACAGGAGGTACCTGTGCATGGCTGTTACGTAGGCCCAGGTAATGAACACAGCACCCAGGAGGTAGTTCTGCAATGCCCACCCCTCCATAGTGTCCACAGAGTTGACTGTTCCCACGTTATGTCCATGTGTGCTCATGTTTAGCCCCCACTTATAAGTGAGAACATGTGGTAGGAGGTTTTCTGTTCCTGCATTAATTCATTTAGGTTTATGGACTCCAGCTCCATCCATGTTACTGCAAATGATATCATTTTATTCTTTTTTATGGCTGCATAGTATTGCACAATGTATATGTACCACATTTATCTAATCCACCATTGATGGGCACCTACGTTGATTCTACGTCTCTCCTGTTGTAAATAGCATGGCGATAAGCATGTGACCGCACATGTCTTTCTGGTATAATGATCTACTTTTATCTGGGTATATACCCAGTAATGGGATTGCTGGGTCTAATGGTAGCTCTGTTTTAAATTCTTTGAGAAAACTCCAAGCTACTGTCCAATGGCTGAAATAATTTGCATTTCCACCAAGAATGTATATGTGCTCCCTTTTCTTTACAGCCTCTCCAGCATCTGTTGTTTTTTGGTCTTTTAGTAATAGCCATGCAGACTGGTGTGAGGCTATCTCACTGTGTTTTTGGTTTGCAGTTCTCTGGTGATTAGTGATGCTGAGCGTTTTGTCACATGTTTGTTGGCCACTTGTATGTTTTCTTTTGAGAAGTGTCTGTTCATGTTCTTTGCCGATTTTTAAAGGATTATTTGTGGTTTGCCTGTTGATTTATTTGTTCCTTACAGATGTCAGATATTAAGCCTTTGTCAGCTGCATAGTTTGTGAATGTCTTATATTTACATCTTTAATCCATCTTAAGTTAATTTTTGTATATGGCAAAAGTTACAGGTCTAGTTTCATTCTTCTGCATGTGGCTCAGCAGTTATCCCAGCACCATTTCCCCACTGCTTGCTCTCATTGGCCTTGTCAAAGATCAAACGGTTGTAGACACGTGGCTTTATTCCTGAGTTCTTGATGGTGTTCCATTGGTCTGTGTGCTGTTTTTACGCCAGTACCAACCTATTTTGGTTACTGTAGCCTTATAGTATACTTTGAAGTCAGACAGAGTGTAACCTCTGGCTTTGTTCTTTTTGCTTGGGATTGCTTTGGCTATTTTGGGCTCTTTTTTGATTCCATAGCAATTTTAGAATCATTTTTTTTCTAACTCTGAAGAATTACATTGGTAGTTTGATAGAAATAGAACTGAATCTGTAGATTGCTTTGGGCAATATGGCCATTTTAACAATATTGATTCTGCCAATCCATGAACATGGGACATTTTTCCATTTATTTGTGTCCTCTCTGATTTCTTTCAGCAGTCTTTTATGGTTCTCCTTGTGGAGATCATTCACCTCCTTGGTGAGCTGTGTTCCTAGGTATTTCATTTCATTTGTGGCTACTGTTAATAAGATTGCCTGCTTGATTGACTGTCAGCCTGGAGGTTATTGGTGTATAGAGACATTGGGGTGGCATTTTCTAATTGAAACGATGCTGAACTCTCTCAGACAAGCACATCCTTGATGGCAGTCGAGGCTCTTTGTGGACATTGGGCAGCGTCGGTCTCCACATCTGTGAAGTAGGCATGTGGTAGCATCTTACAGGGTGGTGGAGGCCCAGATGCAATCCTGTTGGAGGATGCTGTGAGCACAGTGTAGTGGGAGACACTGTGAGAGGAGCTCGTGAGGAGAAGCCTCTGTCTGGGCATGAACGAGAGCTCCAGCCACACCTCTGCACCCACACTCCTGTGCATCACCCTCGCCAGTGCTGAGCCTGGGTTACCGGCTGACCTGTGTCGGCTGCAGTTGTTTGTTGCATAGACTTGTGTTATTCCTTTTTTTTTTTCCTTTGGAATAGAAATTTCCTCATTTCAAAACAAAAGTGTTTTGTTTTGTTTTTTTATAATTTTTGTGGGTAATGGTTTTTTATTCCTAAACTAGTGGCTAGCCCTCACCAGTAAAAATGAAAGCCCATTATAAATATTATTATTTCTTTTGTCCTAAAATTTTTCTACTATTTCTTAACAAAATTGTAAGTGATGTAGAATCACAAGCTTTAGATGATATCTAGAGTATCACAAACTGCAAACTGAAGGTTGCTCGGAGTGGCTCAGGGTGCGCACTGCACAGGGCCCATGGGGGTGCCCTGACGGCCTCTGCTGTGTCCCTCTGGTTGACTCCCTTGCAGCCCCACATGGTCTCTCTCAAAGGCCCTGGTGTGGGCCCTGCTCCAAACAGCAGCCACTGCCCACCCCACCCTGCGCTGCTGGGCTCCCCAGAGGAGGGGTATTCCCAAAGGAGAGAGAAGGGAGGGGCTCACTGACGGACACTCAGACATGCTTCTCAGGGATAGCTGTGCCCACCAGCCATGGGACCACTCAGAGTGGCTTTGCTAATTCAGATTAGCAAAACACAGTCATAACATCTACAGGTTACTAATGTATTTCATGGGTTTTATGGGTGTGGATTTGAGCCTCTGGTTAATGCACAAGAATCTGAGTGTAAAAGAGTCACTTGCTTGGGAATCCTCTGTACCTTTTGGCAGAGGCTGAGAGGAAGATAGGGTAGCCAACTCTCGCCCTGTGCACTGACCTCAGTGCTTCCTCTGCAGGGGCCTGTGCGTTACAGAGTCACCAGTAACACACCCTTCCCTGATGTCCTGAGATCCTTCAGTCCCAACCCAAACCTTGCAGTGATGACCACTTCTTTTTTTCCTTTATCCAAATCCAGGGCAGTTTCTTAGCATTGCTCACAATGTTGGCAATGTGAGGAAGCTTTTTGCTTCCCTTAGCTTTGTTCTCTTCTTCCTCTGTGGGAAGGAGTCCCTGGGGAAGTCCAGCTCCTGGTTCAGAGCTGCTCCCGGAAGACACCAAGAGAGCTGTGACCTCCTGCAAGTTCTCCCTTTCCTTGTAGCAACAGACAAAACCATAGTTTCCATCAGAATTAGGCAGCGTGGAGCTTTGCTGATTAGGGCCAGGACAGCCCTAAGCACCAGGAGAGCTCGGGCTAGAGTGTCTCTAGCCTATTGCCAGGTTCTCCCAGCCACACTCATGCCGGACCCAGGGAGGCAGGCAGGGATCTCTTGGAGAAGAAGGTGCTTCCTAAAGGGAGGGGCTCACTGGCAGGGATTTAGGATGTGGGAGAGACCAGGTCCACCTCCGAGTCCTTCTTCACTCCTCTAGATTCCGATGGACATGTCTGGACCCTGCACAAATGATGTTCTGTGACATTAACTGGTAGAGATAATAATTAGTAAAGAAAGACCCATCGGGTAAATCCTAGACTGAAACAATTTCTCAACCATGTGTTAAAGGAGATTTTTAACAGCTCTCACAAACAACCCTTGCCCTCAGTGCCGGTTGGCTGTTAGTGAGTCTGGTGGCTCAGAAAGGATGACTGGGCAGCAGAAATCGTGTCAGTGAGGATGGGTGCAGGGAACAGAGGGCTCGTGGCTGTGAAAGGGGCAGCTGCATGTGTGCCCGGCGTGTCTGCCTGCCACTGAGAGGCCACTCTGAGTTTATCCTGAGCTAATTCTCTGTGTCCATTTCCTCCTTTCACTCCCATGGCCTGTCTGGTCTGCATGCCCAGCCAGAAACTTCCAAAGCATGAGGTCCCCACAGGCCCAGCACGTGGCCCCCTGGTCCCCTTGAACCCCGTCACCTGCAGAGGACCTGGGGCCCCAGGTGGCTGTGGCTGCCCCTCTGGCTGAAAGGAACAGCCCAGCTCTTGACAGATGAGAGATTGTGGATCCAGGTCCTGTCACCAAAGGTGCTCATGAGCCCTCGAGTGTCGGGGAGGAGCCCCACTCACTCTTAGGGCTGGACAGGGATTTGACAGGGCGGAATGCCCAGTCACTTCCCTACACCCTGTGGCTCCCGAAAGCTAGCCAGGCGTGTGCCTGTCTTTCGAGGGACCAGGTGCTGGGTGCCAGGTGCGCCTTTCCAACAGACTGGTGAGTTCTCCTCCAGGGCCAACCCGATTCTGTGCATATTCAAATGTACACAGTGTAAAAAAAAGAAAAACGAAACGGAGGCAGATGGTTTTGTTTTGTTTTTGTTTGCCGTTGTTTGTTTTCCTTACGCATAAGCCCCGGCACCCCGAGGCCGTCCCACGCGGCTGCGTGTGTCCGAGGCCGGGCGGGCAGGCCCTGCCGCGTGCGTGTGTCCCAGGCCCTGCGGCCGGGGCCTGAGTCATCCCGTCCCTGTCTCCCCAGCGAAGCGGTACTGCAAGGACCCCAGCCCCAGCAGCAGCAGCAGCAGCAGCTACGCGCCCAGCAGCAGCAGCAACCTGAGCTGCGGCGGGGGCAGCAGCGCCAGCAGCACCTGCAGCAAGAGCAGCTTCGACTACACGCACGACATGGAGGCGGCGCACATGGCGGCCACCGCCATCCTCAACCTGTCCACGCGCTGCCGCGAGATGCCACAGAACCTGAGCACCAAGCCGCAGGACCTGTGCGCCGCGCGGGTAGGCGCCACGCGGGTGGGCGCCTCGCGGGTGGGCGCCCCAGGCGGGCGGGAGACCCAGGACCCGCCCAGATGCGCGCGCTTTCCCTGCAGCTTCGCGTGGCCACGGCCGCGCGCTCCCAAACCGCTCTTCCCACGGCGAGCAGTCGCGCGGCTTCCGCCACCGCATCTGGGGCGGCCAGTTGTCCGGGACGCGTCCGTGTTCTAAATTGGGCCCGCGGCGGGCCTCGCAGGTCCACGCGCGTCCAGGGATCGTTCTCCCCAGGGTCCGGAGTCGCTCTGTAAACAGAGGACAGCGCGTGGCCTTCCTGCGGCCTCCAGGGACCCCACGGAGGAGGCGGAGCCGAGGCCTGGTCTGCCCTGGGCTTTGCCCCAGGAGGCCGTGCTAGCGCTGGTGTCAGGTGAAGCGCAGGGCCCGTGCCTTGCCCGCGGTCCCCACGGATTCCGGGGAGCAAGGGGAGCACACGTCAGACTCCCACGCAAGGGGTCCGCCCGTGCGCACGGCAGCACGCGGGGGTTCGGCATTCTCGGGGTGCCTGGGGGGCTCTGGAAGGTACAGGACAGGGTCTGTTCTCCACTTTCTCGTCAGTGGGCCCCTGGCTCACGCGGGGCGGGAGAGCACGCGTGTCAGATGCAGCTCGGCCCGAGAGCGCTGCCTGCCGGGGCCACCGGGGGCCAAGAACCCGCGGGAAGGCGCCTGTCCTGCCGTGCGAGGAGCGCTGGGCGAGGCCGTGTTCACCGCCCCAGCGAGGGGCTCAGCTGAGCAGCGCGCAGCACTGACCGCGCGTCCTAGAAACACTGGTAGTCTGCATGCGTGAAGGAAGGTCAGTCATCCACGTGTTGCACATGCTTTCCTTCTGGCGGTACATTTGGTTGTAGGTATTGGAGACGCGTCAGGAGCGTTCAGTTTCATGGTAATCGAGGTTGATAAAATGCAAGGTTGGCATGGAAGAGATTCTGTGGCAACCACAAAAAAAAAAAAAAAAAGAGAGAGAGAGAGAGAGAGACCCCTTCCAAGTCTTTTGGCACTTTCTTAAAATTAAACCAAAACAGAGAATAAATGCAACATTATGAAGCTCAAATTAGCATCGAAGCTTCAAATCAGAGTGCACTTTGACAAAGAGAGTTCAGGCAGAATGATACTGTATAATTTATCAAGGTAACAGCTCCAGGGATGGGGTTCTCATTCCAAGCATCTTCCTTCTGTAGCATGAAGAGGAGAGAGCTGCTAGACCTCTGAGGAGGCAGCAGCTTTCACACCAGCTCTGAAATCAAATTTTTGCTCAAAAGAGTGTCACTCTTTGAGGAGAAACATGCAGGATTGTTAGGGGGTATTTTGATTTTTTTTTAACTTTCTGTCCATGGATGAGTCCTTTCTTCTGACTCTCCTCCTGAAAGGCAAGCACTCCAGAATTCTTGATGTGTTTCAAAGCATCATTTAAAATAAATAAATAAAGCCTCACCCTGTACCTCTTTGGTTTTTTTAAGCCAGTAAACTAACTTGTAGGTTTGCTGAAACTTGGAGTAGCAGGTCAAACGGTAATCACTGTGGTAAAGGTATTTTTAGCTGCAATTGCAAATCTCCTTTCTTAAAATGGAAAATTATCTTCATCATAAAAGTTTGTATTTCAGCCTGGCAAGGGAGCTTGCACCTGTAATCCCAGCACTTTGGGAGGTTGAGGCAGGCAGATCACTTGAGGAGTTTGAGACCAGCCTGGCCAACATATAGTGAAACCGCATCTCTATTTAAAAAAATACAAAAAATTAGCTGGGCCTGGTGGTGCAAACCTGTAGTCCCAGCTACTTGGGAAGCTGAGGCAGGAGAATTGCTTGAACCCGGGAGGTGGAGGTTGCCGTGAGCCCAGATTGTGCTACTGCACTTCAGGCAACAGAGCAAGACTCTGTCTCTCAAACAAAAAAAAATGTATTACAAGGTAAATTTTAATTCCTTCTCTTTCCTTCCTTCATCCTTCTAATTCTTTTGTTATCCTCCTCCATAATTCTTGAACTATTAGCATCAATAAAACTAAAAGAGAAGTTTTAAGCTGATATGTGTGTGTGTTTATACACACACACATTCATACATGCACATATATGTATATACACACATGAATGCACACAAAATTTTTATCTCAGGTATTTGAACTGTAATAAATTAAAATTAAGTACTTACTTAGAAATTTTCTTCTGAACAGACTCTAAAGTTTGAGTCTGTTGGAGACTAACAGACTCTATTGGAGACAACAAGACAAGAAGGAAGGAGAGAGAGAGGATAAACAGTCAACAAATAGGGAAACGGAGGGAGGGAGGGATGCCTGAATTCTCCACCCATTTTGCAGCTAAGCGTGGGATAACGGGAATGTACCAACCACGCTTAGCTGCCTCCTTTGCCTGATCACCTTGGGAGTTTAGGCAAAGGAAGCGGCAGTGAGGAAGTCTGTGCTTGAGCGCTAGACTGGCTGAGAGCAAAGCTGCCACCTGGGAGGATGGACTCGTGGCGTTACAGGATGCCAGGCCAAGCACCGTCACCATGTCTTTTTGCCGACAGAACCCTGACATGGAGGTAGACGAGAACGGAACCCTGGACCTCAGCATGAACAAGCAGAGGCCGCGGGACAGCTGCTGCCCCATCTTGACCCCCCTGGAGCCCATGTCTCCCCAGCAGCAGGCCGTGATGAACAACCGGTGTTTCCAGCTGGGCGAGGGTGACTGCTGGGACTTGCCCGTAGACTACACCAAAATGAAGCCCCGGAGGATAGACGAGGACGAGTCCAAAGACATCGCTGTATGTGCTTTTCATTGAGCCTGACTGTGCTGACCGCCAGACTTTAAAATGGGGCCTCAGCTGACAGAAATGCTGTTTGCACATACCTGATGAGAAAATACCTTTTCTCTTTAAATATGACCTTTAGCTGAGGAGAGCTTAGGAAGGAGTTTTTGTTGACCCAGAGGAGATTTGTGACTACCATTGATCACAGTGAAACAAATGATTGACTCTAGTAAATGATAAAGTTTATTTTCTAACAAGTGTTTTTTTACAAATGATTAAGAAAATGTATAAATAGCATGTGAGTTCATTTTTCTGGGTGTCTTGTTGAAAGAATACAAGATTTTCCTTGCAGGTAGAGAATTCTAATAGAAGTCTTAGATACTTAAATGGTTAACTATATGCTATTAATTAACTAGCTCTTCAAAACTAAGGACAGTGTCCCTTCTCTAAGAAACCTAAAGTATTCAAAAGAGTTTACTCTAGCCCTGTATAAATTATTTTAGTACCATCACCTAAATCTTTGTTTATGACAGTATTAGTAAAACATCTATGTCAAGAACATATTTTTGAAGTAGTTATGGTGTTCAAATTCAGGTTATTAAAATAGATATAATGCCCTTTAGGCTTTGAAAACAAATAAAATGTTTTCTTTATGTACTGACTTTAAAGTCTTCAATTCTGAGAAGTATGATATCTTCTTTATTTCACTGAAAAATGAAATTTATTTTTAGTACAATAGAGAGATCACCATCAAAGCACTATTGTTGTACAGAAACAAGGAAATGGAAAAAAGGAAACATTAGCAACACATAGAAATTGCCAGAGAGGGCACCTGCTTATAAGCCTATTATCTGTATTCTTCAAATTGATTTCAGTATCCAGGCACTGTGAAAAAGAACCAAATCAGAGTGGCTAGCTAAATTTCTAAGTATCTTTTCTCCGGCAGTGTTGAATCATTACTACCAAATAAGGCATGGTGGTTGAATCTCCAAATTTATGTTAATTAAATTAAAAGTAAGCCCTCATAAAATGACAGAAGTGTTTTCAACCTGGATTGTCATGGAAGGCAGATCTTCCCATGTATCTGTAGACTTAGGAAACGTGTCTGCTGAGCATTGCCACCTGTAGAAACATCTACGTTACTGCAGTTGAACGTACAACCAAAAAGGAGATTTACAGTTGCCTTCCTCTAAGTTAGTCTCCATTACCTTGAATCTTAAAAGCACATGCTTGTGAAACACTGACCAGTGGTTGGGGAAAGCTCATCTCTAAGGGGCTGTCGTTCCAGTGCTGAATCCTGTCAGGCAGGGTTGGGGAAAGCAGCCCCGCGACAGGTGCGTGCTAACACTGGATGAGGAAGAGCAAGGGAAACGTGGGCTCTGGCCACCGGACCCTGTGTGTGCCCATGTGGTGAGCACAGCCAGGTGAATACTGAACAAGGCCTGGACCACTGGCAGGTGACCTTCATTTTAGGAGTTTAGATCAGTGGATGAAAAGTTCAGTGTGCATTTTCAGAAGGGGCATTATCAGGACAAAAATATGTAGGGAACTTAAAGGTACAGCAGGGAGAGGTGCAAGAGGTAGAGGCTGCCCAGAGCCACGTGCCGCCTCCCTCAGTCTGTGTGCCGTGTGATCATCCATGTGGCTCTGAAGCTGTGTTTTGCCCACAGCCAGAAGACTTGGACCCATTCCAGGAGGCTCTAGAAGAGAGACGGTATCCAGGGGAGGTGACCATCCCAAGTCCCAAACCCAAGTACCCTCAGTGCAAGGAGAGCAAAAAGGATTTAATAACGTAAGCATGCTGTGAGGTGAAATTACGAATCTTCTCAATCTTCCCATTCTTGGCTGATTTTTAAAAACTGGATCTGTATATGCCTTGCCGTTTGAGCATGCGACATTCGCAGCGATAAATGTCTCCGACTGCCGGGTCGGTCGGGTGAGCAGCTCACCGTGCACTTGCCTGCTCCCAGTGGCTCTGCCGGACGGAGCGTCGTGTTCATTTAACCCGTGCATTTTGCCGCTTTTCTTCAGGGTGCTTCAATTCCCTTGCAGACATTGCAGCTAAACTGGAAACAATGAAACTTTTTTAAAAGTTTTTTTTTTTTTTTTTTTTTAACATACTTACGATTTTGGCTGTTTTTGTTTTTGTTTGGTGGCAGATGTCCAACTCCAGGGTGTGATGGGAGTGGTCATGTGACTGGTAATTACGCCTCACACAGAAGGTGTGACTTCATTTTTCTCATGGTGGATTCTGTCTTTTCAATTTATTGTTTTCAGCTTACCTCAACAATGCTGTCAAAGTAAAAATGTTGAATTCTGTGTCAACCCTTTAAGTGCTCTATGTTGACCTTCAAAAGCATGCTAATTTATGTGTTGTATAATGTCTTTTATTTACAAATGAACAACTCAAATTTGTAAAATTCTTCTTAAGCATTGAAACCAAAGAGCACAAATGTTTTATCTGATTTTTTAAACAATTGCTTATTAACAGAAATATTTTCTTAAATTTATATTCGAACTGATTCAGAATTAATTCTACAAAAAAAATTCAATATACAGCACTTGCCCATTGCTTTTCTGCATTGAACTCTTTAATTTCGGTTTTCATGTTGTGTTTGTTCGGGAGTTACGTGCTTCCCGGTTCACTGACCTGCCTGTCCCGGCCTGTCTTACAGTCTGTCTGGCTGCCCCCTGGCGGACAAAAGCATTCGAAGTATGCTGGCCACCAGCTCCCAAGAACTCAAGTAAGATTTAATGACAATAATTCTCTTTTAAAAATCCGTTCACTCAGTAGTCCACAAAAAATGATGTATCATTTGCAAAGAAAAATGTCTGTTAAAAAACATGACCTGTACACCCCAGTGCCTTCATTTAGACACGTGATTGGGTCCTTGGAATTTCAGCCACTTTCCACACAACCCATCCTGCCTTTTCCCCTGACATACCTCCAGCTGTTCATGTCATAGCCTTCCTATCTGGAATTTCCTAAAGCATGAGTATTTTCTCTTCAGATATGCATGCATATGGAAGGGAAATTTTGTAGTTACTCAAACTTTTAGAAAATGACTGTAAATAATCAAAATTTAATGTTTAAAAGAAATTCATGGAAGTATTTAAAATATGGGCACTTAAATAGCACTCATGACAAAATCTAACATCATAATAGCTAATTTCTTAAATACGCTGTGGTCTTAGTCATGAATACTCTTTAGGACAGTGACAACTCATGGCTGGGGGATCCGGAGAGTCACGGAATTCAACCAGACACACATCATTCTAAAGCCGCACCTCCCTCTCCTCTATGCCTGTCATTTTTAAGAATAAATCTGGCAAAATGGTGAAACATCTACGTTTATACTGCCACACTGAGCTCTTCCTCCTTCACATAGACATCTCTAGACGCAGGTCCAGACAGGTTCTGGAAGAAGCGGGTGGAAGTCACAGAGGGAGCCTCAAAGCCTCCACACTCCAGGGAGGGTGTATGTGCAGGTGCTCGCAGGGAAAGAGGGCGAGACCTGGGAGATCCCCACAGCGCGATGAGGGCTGAGAGTCCCCAGATCATCACTTCAAATTATCTGACATGCCACGTCATTATGTCAAATAGCTTGGTTTTCATTTTGTTTGGAAAAAGTGTTGTTATCCATGCAAAGAGAATGCTGCTTTCCAACCCACGTTGGATCTCTTTCCCAGTCGTCCCACCCACCCCAGCCCCCCAGGCCCCTGAGGATAGGCCAGGACTGTTGCAAAGTGTAGGCTTCGGTTTCACACCCGTGTCATCTTTTACAGGGTCCCTGTCCAAGGCCCTAGGGCCATAGATCACCTGCTTATGTTCAGTGACTTCCTGAACTAGGCCTTTCGCCACAAGGCCCTTGGAACTCTCTTCGTGGAATGTAAACGCCTGGAGGGCTTCCTCTTACTTAATGCCTTTAAAGTCAGTAGCCTCATCCAAAACAGTGCCTAATGGACAAAGTAGCTTTAGGATCTCAAAATGGACAGCATTAGCAAGAACAACTCAACCCACTTTGTTCAGGCGTCTTTTATGTGGCTCGAAACCCCATTTCCCTCATGGTCAAAACATGACTAACTGCACTTGGAACTTGGCCAGTACATCAGAACATGGCAACATTCCTTTCAATTCCTTGATGAGGGACACTTTGCAAGAGTTTGGCGCATCTCCAGTTCCAGCAGGCCAGCTGTAGACAGGAAAACAGCCTCTGTAAAAGTTGTGTCTAGCGTTGCCTCTAACTGGTCAGAGGCTGCCGCGTTCCGTTTTCTTTGCCTTGCATCCCTTAACATTAGGCTTGGCAGTTTGTGCTGATTTGAAATTCCACGCCGACTTGCTGTTTCTCCAGCATCAGCACTTTCTTCTTCTCTTACCTCATCTTGCAAGACGTTGTGGTGCTCCTCACCTTTATCATCTTCCAAGGGAGCCCGTTAGCTCTTTGTGCCTTCCAGGGCAGGGTGAGAATGGGCAGCCCCTCCTTCCTGCCTTGTCCTGGAGGGGAGACTGTATCTTCCAGGAGGTGGATGGCCCTTTCCTAATTTTGATTGATAGAAAAGCCACAGACATACACGTGTCTAAACTTGTCTTTGCAAAAAGTAAGTCCTATTCTGATGGAGCCTCTCTGCGAAATCTGAACTTGACTGCTTTTCTTAAATGGTCCATTTCTATTAATGGATCTTCAAAATGAAGAATTTCAATCAAACATCTTTTATAAAAACACCACTATTTTAACGACCAAATTCTTCTTGATGGTGTATAACCATAGGTTATAATTGTTTTTTCTTTAACCTTTTAATTGGTGACACCCTCCGTCCATTACTTGCTGGATCTGGGTCAGGAAGATATGCTGGGTGGTTTCCCAAGCCCCGGAGCATGGACTGGGCCCCGCGCGACTTGCAACAACTTTCTTTAGAATAATGCCTGCCTGAGTCCTTTTTCACATTCTCTGTGTATATTTTCAAGGGTTCGATCAATTCCTCCTGCAGCAGCATTGTCCCTCAGTCAGAGCATGAAGTTAAACCATTCCTTGCACCCTGCAACAATCTCTCGGCGTTCGCAAAGACATATCAATTGCCCCAAATATTCTTCTCTACAATACGTGTCAGCTAACAGATGGAACTTTCTACAAATTTTCTTCTTGTCGCTTCCAACACTAAATTGTGATATTTGGCCTTTGACAGGACATTCTTGATCATGGACAAAACAAATTTTCCAGATAAACTCTCGTTCTTGGATCCCCTAAACTCTTAAACTTCCTGAGATAATACTTTGCCTGGATCTTACTCAGGGCAGCAAGCATGGGACATTCTTAAAAGCAAATCCGTAACTTCATGGCTAATTATGTACAATATGTCAACCGAAACTGGATTAAAATTTAATGTGCACATGAATCTTACTCCAACGCTGGGACGGTTGCTTTCTTGGCTCCTTAGCCCATCTGGTGTCAAAGACAGAGCTCAGTGGCTCAGAAGTCAGGGAGGAAGCCCCCAGGGTAAAAAGGACACTTTGGGGAGGCAGACAGAGGGGGGATGGCCAGTTCCGAAAGCCTCTGTGCCTGGCAGATGTTTTTTCATTGATGCTTTGAGGTAGAGTTCACCACCACCTTGCATGTGCTTTCTGGGAGCCGGCCTCACAGGCCCACCATGAGCCCTGCCTGGCTGTGACATTCATTGAGACCACAGGCCAGAAAGCAAAAATGAATACATTTGTGCAAATTAGAGTTTTGGGGGGTGAGAACTCTGCCCACCATGAGCTCTGATTCTCAATAAAAGTTTCTCCTCATGACATTTCATTTGCTAGGATTCCCTGAAAGAAACAACAGGAAAGAGCTTGCAAAATCGCTGTAGCTGGTCAGCCTTTTCTTTTTCTTTTTCTTTTTCATTTTCTTAAGGAGCCCTAGTCTCCCAGCCGGGAATCACTTTTTCTACTTCTGGATGTGTGTTCAGTTGTAGACAAGGGCATGGTGTGGGCATAACCAATGTCAGCCAAATACAAACTGATTTCAATCACAGGTAATGGGCTCTAAGAGGAGGCCTCAAATCGGCTTCCACATCTGCTTCGGTTGACCAAATTAAGATTCCTCCGTAACCATCCATGCCTTTGTCTTATAATACCACGAGTCCTGACGTTGCTGTAACTCCTTGCAGGAAAAAGAACTTTGGGGCACTTGTTAGTCTCCTGATGTCTGAGCTGGGACTGAGTCATCATGGGAGTGAGGGGATTGTGCTTCTGGTCCCTTGGCCTTTGAGATGGTCTCACACTCTGTTTTCTCTGGGCTTGTATCCTAGGCATTTTCGGCTTGGGTATGCGGGAGCTTTAGCCACATCTAACACATATTTTAACCTGGTTACATGCATTTTAAAATAAATCATAAATCAAAGAATTAGCATGTTGAACGTAGGTCAAGATGTTGCTGTTTGCTAAGGCTACTTCTTTCTGGGCCGTCCTGGGGCTTCGGTTCTCCGCTGCGCACGCAGTGCAGAATCAGGAGATTGTTTACCAGGCCCTCCTGGAGAGAGACGTGAGCTTTGCTCACCCCTCAGCTTCCATTGTTAGGGTGCGGAGGGTCATCCGCTTTGACTGCTCACCAAGTTCTTAGAAATAATCCTCGTTCCCGTAATCTTTTGCTTTCACAGTTTACAATAGTCAATCCACGGAACTTTGTGAATTACAACTGCCCTCGGCTGGGGGCTGGTTTCTTTAACAGGCAGCTGTATTTCCTTATCAGAAGAATGAGTTGACCTCTGTGTAAATTCAGCTCTTTTAGGACAGAAAGTTATGTGATTCCAGCCTTCACATTGGGAGGGGAGCTCATGTGTGATCTCTCACTTCAAAGACTGCTCCCGAAGCACCCTCGTTTCTGTTATAAGAAATGGTACCAGTCAGCGGCTGGCTCAGCTCACCCAAGAGCACCTGGGCGCACATGCCCCGTGAGCGGGAATGTCTGGGGGAGGGGAGGCGGTGGCCTGGGGTTTCTCAGATGCAGGTTTCTCCCACGCACAGGGTCACCGGGACCCTAGCAGGCACCCGCTGGCCACAGGGACTGAGCTCTGCCCCAGAGCCTTCTCCAGGTCTGTGGCGGCACCTGCTTGTGCTGAAATACTGCAGGCCTGTAGGGTGGCTGACGGCAGACAAAGTGCTTCTTTGCAGTCTGTCACCTTTGTGAGGAAAGGGGGAAAGGCGTGCTTAGACCCATGTTATGGCTGAGAGAACTGAGGACAGGTGTTCGGCCGCTGAGTTGAGATGCACAGACAGTCCGCTGCAAGGACAAAGCCCGAGCCAGAAGCTTTCCCACACTATACGCTTGCTGCTCAAAATCATTAATAACACCGCCTGAGGTTTGCTGCTTTGTGACTGAGAATTGAAGGTTTACATTTAGTTATGACTACAGCCATACATGTGCACACAAACATACACACTGAATTTGTTTCTGTTTTCACAGTTGGGCTTGTGCAGTTTTCCTGTGACCCACACAGGGAGCTGGGGGGGACCTGCCTGGCAGTGGCCAGCTCCGGTACTGTGCCACATCCTGTGCCACATCCTGGTGGAAGCTGACACGTCCACTCCCCACAGTCAGCTAAAAGCATTTTGAACTTGCTCCCCCAGGAACCCGGGTCTACCATGTATATTTTCACATCTGTAAATGGCTTATAAAGCTTGCACTATGGCATTTATTAAAAATATCCTATAAAATACAGCCTATTGAAGATATATCCATATCTTTAATATGTATATATATAT